GTATGTTTGTAGCCCATAGCTGTGCTGCTGTGTCCCGGTTGGGAGAAGGTCCAAGCTGTATATGACCTCCTGGGGGTGAGTAAGGTCTCCCAAAAGCTCTACCCCACAACTGTGCTGCTGGGCATCAACAAGGACGAGGCTAAGAGTGTCAAGATCCCCAAAAACTGTGAGTTAAGCATAACGAGCATCATCGCAGTCTGCTAGGTGGTCGATAAATGATTGATTTACGTCAGTAACTATTCAGAATCTTCTAATCTGATTAATTCCAGGCCTGCTGTTGGTGACCACTCCTTTCAGTCTGGTCCGTCTGCTGTCCTGCCACTGCTTCCTCTTCCTGCGGCTGTGCCACCTGGTGCTGGACGAAGCTGACCAGCTCTTCAGTCTGGCTCCAGATGAGGTGATGACTTATGATGTACAACTGTAAATGTGCACACATCGCGTCCGTTTTTAGTTCTGTTTTCATTGACGGGCATCAGATAGGATCAATTCAAATAGTAACCTGTAATAAAACTTATCAGAGGGGTTAGAGAGAATTATTTCCAGAAAATGCAAAGCTTACAAACCTGAATCCAAAAGATAAGCAGAGTACAATGTGCAGGGGTACAGAGGACGTGCAGACTGATTGTGGGGGCAGAAGCCTCGGCAGAGAAGTCCAGGCCTCCAGCTCACTCAGTGTTCCCAGGACATCCTGGAGAGGCTCTGTAGCCCCTTCAGCTGGCTCCTTTCGATGTGGAATCATTGAACTCCTCATCCTGCCACTCTTAAAAGGACCGCATTTCCACTGCTTGTATCCACCGTCTCCGAGAGCTTGTGACCATAAGCGAGGGTTGGAAAATAACCAATGATTACATCACTAATGATTCTTCTGCTCCACTCTTGCCTCACTCCTGAACAAAACCCCAAGAGACTTAAAGCATATAATTAGTCTGTGACCCGGAGGCCATGGTCCTGCTCCGGCCTCAGACTTTGAGGTGCTAATTCACACGCAGCTGTGAACTGCTCCAGTGTGAGCCTGAGGCTACCTGCTGATGAAGCCAACAGAACCATGCTATCTGTAAAACCCAGAAGTGAGATCCTGAAGCAGAAGCTTTCCACCCCCTGGCTACCCCTGGATGTTCTATCCATGACAGCTATGAACAGAATCTCTGTCAAAGATCCAGGTTTGTGTGTCCTTCGAACAGAGAGTGTTTCAGAATAAGAGTCTTTTATTTTGAAAATAGGCTAGATTCTCCAGGCCCTTCCTGCCCAGCTCACCTGCTCTGTGCAGGTTGATGCAGTTTCTGTAAAATACTACATCTAGTGCTATTTTACGTGACAGTTAGCAGAGAAACTCTTCTGCGATCCATCTGGTGAAATTAATATTGAAACTAGAATGTGCTGCAGTTACATCAATGTTATTCTCTGATAGCTGTGTTTGTTTCAAGGAAAAATATGATCTTCTGTTTTATTTGTGAAGTCGTATTTTGTAGTGACGGGAAGTGGTCATTATTGATGGGAATGAGCAGAACGGACAGGATTAGAAATCAGAGGGACAGCTCAGCTTGAGCTGAGGTTAACAAGAGCAGGTGCAACATGTCTGCACGGCCAGTCACACAGGTGGCAACACAAATGTAGAAAGTACAACACAGCATGACACAAAAGTGGCTTTTGAAACTGGAAACAACAGATTTTCAGGCCTGGTGTTCTTTAGCTACATTAAACCAAAAGAAAGTATTTTTACCATTGATAATATTTTTAAGAGAGTAAACTGCTATTTTGTAGTTAGACGGTGTTTGTAGTTACAAAGAGTTTGATGGTTGGATTTTACCAAGCCTGAAATATTTTTGTTTCTTCTGTCAGATGACGACCATCTTGCAGCACTTCCAGGTCACCTCTGACAAGGAAAGTGATTCCTGTCCTCCACAGCTGATTGTTGTAGCCAAAAGATGGACAAATCACATGGAGGGTTTGTTATCCACTTACATGCCATGCCCCAGCATCGTCATAAGCGTTCCTGAGGAAGCCGCTCTCTATGGTAATGTTCAGCAGGTCAGTAAAAACTTTCCTGTTCAAATTAGGGCTAAACAGTGGTCTCAGGGGTAGTAAAAGCGCTATAGAAATACAGGCCAATTACCATTTTTAGCAGCACCACAAGCCGATTTAGCACAACCTCTGACACTGTGGATGCGCAAACACAGAAATGTCAGTGAAAAAGACGGAGC